GAGGAGCCGTGGGAGCCCAGAGAACAGGCCCAAAATCTTGCAGGGGATGCGGGGAGGCTCCTGAAGCAGGGCACAAGGGTTATCCAGTGCTGGGCAGAGGGTCTGGGCCGGTCCTGAGGGTGCGGGACTCAGTGTTGACCGTCAGTGGTGAGACCTGGCTGAGCACCGTCCTGTCCTCTCCCCTCTCCCAGGAGGCACCCGGAAACTGTTGTACTATCTCAACGAGGGCCACTATGGCACCTTTCGCTCCTTCCTCAGAGATCATGTCCCCAGGATGCCAATTGTGGTGAAGGTAAGGGGACCCTTGTGTGGCTCTGGCACCTCCCAGACCCTGATAGCAGTGAGGTCAGCCCCTTTCCCTGTGAGGCAGGGATCCCTCTGTGAGGTGCAAGGGGGCAGGGTCTTAGACTACACATGGCTTTTTAGATTGTCATACCATGTGGGTGTACAAGGATGTGAACAGGCAAGCCTGTTTGTATTTGCATGCGCACTTCTGTGTGTGTGCACTTTTGTGTGTAAGCATGCTGACTGACACCTGTGCAGGTAGGTGGGTGGATGGGTATATGGTTCTGTGTGGGTGTGTGCGCACATAGGTTTGCCTCTGAGTTTCCATGTGATCTCTCTGTATGCACTGTGTGTGTGTGTGTGTGTGTGACCAGAATCCTTGAATTCTGGAGATGCAAGAGTCCTAGGAAATGGAGGTTCCCCAACTTGCTTCACAGTAGACTCATCTGGGAAGCTTCCAAGGACCCCGATGCCGAGGCGAAGGCCCAGACGATTGAAATCAGGCCTCTCCTGGGTCAGGACGTGGCATCAATCCTTTGTTAAACCTCCTCCAATGTGACTCCAATAGCAGCTGTGTTTCACCCAGTGTTTTGAGTGATTATTGACTAAAATCTTTTGCTTTTATAGATGGGAAATGGATGCCCCATGTGTGTCAGGCCTTGAGAATTAGCAGGGCTAGGATGTGTCACTTGAGCAAATATAAGCTCCATGAGTGCCGGGTCAAGAGCAGTGCCTGGCACATAGGGACTGGCTGGTGTGAGTGACTGCCAGTGTCCTCGCTGGTGCCTGGGGGTGCTCTGCTGGCCGAGGGCATGGGTTTGGGGCAGGAGCTCTTCCTTCTCTGATTCCCCACCCCTGTGTCCCTGCAGGAGCTCTGCTCAAAGCCGCCCCTCTTCCCCTGCATCCTTTATGGCCCCACGTGCGATGCCTTTGACACGTTCTACAATGAGGAGGTGCAGCTGCCTGAGCTGGACGTGGGTGACTGGCTCATCTTCCCCTCCATGGGTGCCTACAATTCAGTCATGAGCTCCACCTTCAATGGTTTTCTGCCTGCGACCATCCGCTACATGATGGGACCTGAGCTCAGGTATCTGAGGAGAGCCCAAGGATCTGACCTTGGCCCAGGGAGCTGATGGCTAAGCTCTGGCTTCCCAGGTCCAGGAAACACCATACCCCCCACTGGCCCCAGAAAAGATTCAACTGACACACTGCCTATGGGCTGACCTGTAACACCCATTACCCATATAAGTCCAAGGCAGCCCTCCT